AGAAAACATAAAATATCTTCCCAAAGAAAGATGGGTTGAGATTCGTCTGTGACTCCTCTGCCTTGCAAGGTGAGCACAATGGGATGAATTTCATCGCATTCACATCTTAAAGTTTCTGAAGGAAACCTCGTGTTTCAGCAACAATATAGGGTTTGCGTGTCATTGCTCAAATTTGGTCCAATTTTTCCGATATACCTCCGTAACATTTGGCTCGTAAAAGCTGCGAGGATGGATGCATATATATATTAAATACTTCTTTTTCCTACTTTCCTCCTGCTCAACTTTGCGCTTATGATGCAGAACGTAAAACTTATTGGAACTGAAAATTTCGCTTCACTGCATCACCCTAGATACATTTCGATGAGACGCGACGTCGCTTAAACACCTGCGATAATGAGATATGTCAGTAGTCACTGGGAATAGGTTTACTCTCTGGGCAAGGGTAATTCAAGGTATTCATGAGCTATATAGCGTGAAGAGGCGGCATTGGAATCTATCATCGATTTTACTACGCTTTTAATTCGGAGACCCGATTCGTCAATCCTGGAATTAAGTGCTGTATCGTTAACATCGCGAAGTTGAGAAACGCGCGAACGAAAGGGTTTTAGAGTATTCTGGATGAATCCAGCAGACGCGACCCGAGCAGGAAAAAAAGAGGAAAAATGTGGGCACCTGGCAAAAGTACCGCCATTCCTGCCACATCCCGGATTTTCCACAGATCTAGACTTGAAAATGTTCCCTTCTGCGAATGACGTGGTGCTCGCCAGCTCGTGCGACTCTTTTCAGCAAAGGCTCACGTGCACTTGGCGGTGACGTCACTCGTGAACGGTCAGGATCAGGCAAATGATGTATCCTGGGCCTGGGGGAGCGTATCAAAATATTGAACACCGATTCATCGAAAGTGGCATGGCCGAAAATTGGAAAGGTTTATTCATCAAATGGACGAAACTAAAATCATCAAATACATTTGTCGAAATAATATTTCGCCGAAGCAAAAACCTTTTCAATGGAAACTGATTTTCGTCGAAGCATGAAAATGTAGGAAAAAGAGCAATTTTGGAATCACGGGTGTCACCGCAAACGTCAAGGACGAATAACCAATTATGAAAGACACCGGTATGCCCTTACGAAAATGTCTCATAGGATTCCTATATATTCCTTTAAGAATATATAGGAATCCTATAGGAACCTAATGGAATCCTATAGGATCCTATATGCCCCATAGAGTTCCCAATAGAACCTATAGAATCCCCTATTGAACCTATAGAGTTTCCTATAGAACCTATAGATCCCCCTATACAACCTATAGGGTTCCCCATAGAACCAATAGGGTTCCCTATAGGACCCAAAGGGTTCTGTATAGGAACCGTAGGGTTCCCTATAAAACCTATAGGGTTCCCTATAGGACCTGTAGGGTTCGCTATAGGACCTATAGGATTCTCTATGGGACCTATAGGATTCTCTATAGGATCTATAGGGTTCCCTATAGGGCCTATAGGGTTCCCTATAGGACATATAGGGTTCCCTATATGACCTATAGGACCTATAGGGTTCCCTACAGGGCTTATACGGAACCCTATAGGCATATAGGGTTCCGTTTGAAGTTCTCCTCTAGGCCACTAGATGGAAGTATAGGGTTCTCAAATTTCTCAAAGGGCACAAAAGTGCCCTCCCCTTACCCAAAGAATCATCTCTCACAAGAGAGTTTTGTACGTCCCCAAATATCTCGCCTTGCCTCATTGTAGCAATCAATAAACTTTAACAGTTCCTTATTTGTTATCCCCATCTTCCTGATATAATCATGGAGTGCCGTGAAGAAATATGCCCATATTCCTTTTGAAGACCACGTACAAAACTGAGTAGACTCTATCCAAATGGAGTTTCAGTAAAGAGACGTGTTCGCAGCTTCTGTCTTCTATTTCCTTAGGTCGAGAGAAGAGGGCCACTTCTTCCTACCGAAGGAAGTAGATGTGCAATGCAGCGAGACGTGTGGGGCGGGGCCATAAACCATACAGACACCCGCAGTACTGGTATTAATAATGCATGTGACCCTACCGTGGGAAAACCCCTAATCGGTTTTTTATTTACACGAAATGCTGCGCCAATATTAACCCGGGTCGCCTTTTACGTCGTAATGCCTTAGTTTCGAAACCCAAAATATCCTCCCTGAATCCTATAGATCAGGAGACCTATGAGACCCTATAGGGATCCAATAGGATCCTAAAGGATCCTATAGGTTTTTCGTGTTTCAAAAACTTATAGGAAATTTTATATGTTTCCTATAAGAAGTAACTATAGGTTTTCTTATAAGACATTTCCGTAAGGGTACAGAACTCATGGGAGCGAATAAATGGGCAGGTGGACTAGTTCCGCTCGAAGTCCTGAAGGCAGGAGAACTATACTTTTCCTGACATCTTTAACACGTTGGCGACAATGCGTCCTGATGGCAGGATGCAGGTTCCAAAAAACGACTTGTGCGCAGATATCGAGTATCTAGCGTTCCAGAAGATTATGATTTCATAATTAATGATAAAAATTCCAAAAAATTCAACTTTAAAAAAAATAAAACTCGGCAAAAAAACTGCTTTCTGGGACCATGCGTCCTGATGGCAGGACGCATTTTTTGACAAAAAAAATGCGCGTGGTCCCACGCGGCGGACAAGCAAAAATAGGCTGGTCGTCAACGTGTTAAGTATTGAAATACTCTCGTAAATTGGACAATAACAACCCCCTCGTGACTCCTGTGGAGCATGGAGAAGAGGGTTCCCTGAAAAAATGGTCCCGGACATTTTGGTCCCAAATGAGAAAGAGGAAAAAAATGGTCCCTGCGGTATAAATGTATGATGACAGCTCATCAAGAGGAAGATGCAATCAAGAGTTGCCAGGAGCTTATTTCAAACATCGTTTAAAAACTTTCTCACATGATCCTTTGCAGGGAGCACCACATTTCAGCTTTCTCAGGATCAAAACGCCCCAATCTCCGAGATAATTGCATCGTTTCTCTTTTCGAGAGGTTTCTGCCTTTTGGATGCAAGTTTGGCAAGAAAGGTGAAATCGACAAGGGAAGGTTTTCTCAACTGCTCAAAACAAGCCTAGAATATAATTATATCCAAGTTGGGAATCGACTTTTTCAGCAAGTAGTCGGAATCCCAATGGGCAGTACCTATTCCACGAACATGGCAAACCTTTTCCTGTTTTTCAATGAATCAAAATTTATTAAAGAAAACCCTTTCTCTGAGAATTATGCCTTTACATTCCGATACATAGATGATCTCCTGACCATTAACAATGACAGGATAGATCGTAATATTAATAACATCTATCCGGATTGTATGGAAGTTGTAGAAACAACTCAACCACTATTTCTTAAGGCACACTACTTGGACTTAAACCTAAGTATGTCAAATTCGCAGATACTGACCAGTATCTACGATAAGAGAAGGGACTATTTTTTTAAATACTGAACATGCCTATGTACCGCTCTAACATTCCCTCCCATATAATCATAAATGTGAGAAAATCCCAGCTAAATAGATATTTGAAAATCTGCGATCTATAGGATGATTTCATTGGGAGTTCCCCAATGAAATCCTCCCCGTAGAGTTTCAGGTCGTCCATGTAGAGAAGGTGGTTCATGCAATGCATTCTTGCATTCTTCCCCTTTCCTACGTAATAACCACAGTCAGTCCGAGCTAGCTCAGTACTGAGAGGGTTGAGAGCCAGATTCCTATAAGAAATAACTATAGGTTTCCTATAGGACATTTCCGTAAGGGTGTTGCATTCCTTAAAAGAAGGAAACAAAGGAAATCCCTCTATAAAAAAAAAGACATTTTTGGATGGGTCCGGATGGATCGTGCCGTAAATACTCTGCAGAATTTACTCTACAGTACTTTACCATATCTTTGGTCCATCTATATCACAGTCACATACCGGCAACCAGGAGACCGTGTATTTACAGCATTTCTTCCCGCGAAGCGCCTCTGAGTAATTCGTCCCTAAAGAATATTAATATCACAGGTTTACTTTGCAACTTGATAGCCTCCAGAGGCTCTCGGAGTTTGTTTATGATCCAGCCAAGCGTTTGACGTAGGCCTGACAAATAGCGAACAAAGACTTCACGGAAATCAAAAGTTGGATGCAGCTAGGAGCCAAATGCCATACAGGCGTAGAGTTATTGAGTTGGCGCAAAAATCAAATTCCTAGAGTGTTCATGCTTTATAGGGCTCAATGATTTTTTAGTGCCTCACATTTTTCAACGGAAATGTATGGATCACAAACTTATCCTGCCCTTGTGGAGACTTGATCACTTCTAGCATGGTTCAAATGTGCAACGGGGCACAACTGACAACGGGGCAAAGGGCACAACTGACTAGACACATGAATCAAGACGACCAAAACGAATAAAATAACACCAATTGTTTTCGTCTTTGTAAGCCTTCGGTGACCTTTCGGAAACCTTTCGGTTTCTAGATACTTCTAGGAATGAATCCTTCTATGGATGGTCGTGTTCGCTCAACTGTCTTTCGACAAAATGTCCATTGGTCGACATGAGTTTCAATGATTCGATACCAACCCGGGAGTGGCTTCGTACCAGAACGGCTCCCTCAATGGACTCGTCGGGGACAATAGTGCACTCCATATCGGTGGGCGTATAGAATTATTGCCTAAAGTCTGTCTCAAATTATTATCAAGCATAAGGTTTTGGTTCTAATTCCTTTAATCCGTAAGCAATTCGGTTCACACTTAATACAAAGCATATTCAGACTACACCTAAAGATTGTACAATGCTTAGACTGAATCGCTCAACTGGAACAGGAAATACATGAAAAAGACACCTCAAAAAGTGTCTCAATATAATATCACGACCTGCTGCTGCCCCAGAAATGTGACTTCGTTTTGTTCCCTCCTTTGAGATGAGATCATACACACGGTCTCTCATGGATGCGATGAGGTTCTTGAGACGATAGGTGCTCACTTCCTCACAGGCCTCGGAAACCGCGTCACGCAGTTCGGCGACAGTTGTTGCGACCGTTGATGATAACGGAGTTGTCTTCCCGCCGTACCCAAAGGCTCCCCAAACCATCAGAGACCCGCCGTCCGATCTCGCCGTCGATCGGAACTCTCCCTAGATCTGTCCTCAGATCTAGACCAGAGACGCGCTGAGATACTGCTCGAGATTGATTGCAACAATCGGAGAGAAATTGATAAAGGTTGGGCAGAAGGGACATCGAAGAGTTGCATTTCATAATCCAGATATGCCCCGCATTCTACATGTCGGACGGCGTTCAGGCATGTACCTACAGGGTGGGCCAAAAAAAAGCTATCATTTCTGAACGGTCGTCAATTCTTTGTAGGCTGTCGATTTTTATTAAAATTTGTCGGCTTATAGGGTGACACAATTGGAGTGTGCATGCCAAATTTCAGCCATCTGGCTTCAGAATCACAGGATTTGTAATTATTTCCTGATCACCAACTACAAAATGTGCTGTCAAAAATATCGTATAACCCGGAGGCCGGGATGAAAAGGAGGTTCGAATTCGTTGACCTTCCAGCCCTGCATGATGCTACAAAGAAATATCAGGAGCACTGCTTCAAAGATTTATTCACCGAGCCATTGATCTGTGGTGTCCCAGACTACAGGCTTGGGTTCAACAAAATGGAGGGCACATTGAGCAACTTTTCAGTCGAAATGTACGTCACTAAACCAAATTGTGTGCTTACGTGTTTGGCATTTGTGCATCTGTTTTTGTTCTGTTTGCTTACTTGTTTGTTTCTGTCAGCTGTGAGCATTTAAAGCTGAAAGAAAAATGAACACTAACTTTTTTGATGATGAAATGTAAATTAATTGCCAATCTAAGAAAATTCGGTATATATAGTTGAAACTTGGCACACAAACTCTAATTGAGTCACCAAATGGTATAACAAATGTAATCAAAATCGGTTGCATGCAAGCAGATTGCCAAAATGATAGCTATGCTTTTTTTTTTGGCCCGACATCTACATATAGTACATGTGTCCTCAAAATAGAAGGCCAGGAATATCATGGTTCATGATTAGGAAAATACGAACTTCGCTTCACTGTTCGGGTTGTTATGCCAACTAGAGAGTGCCTGGAAAATCTAGCAATCTCAACAATGATGGAAGATTCTGTAAACCTCAATTCTCGGCAACCAATAGGAGTGGAAACTAACATGAACCACTTTCTTAATCGAATTAACATTAAACAAATCCCCCTATGGAATGAAGACTCTGGCTGGACTTGAACATGGGCGGACAATAAGATGAGGAGGAGGACGGAGAAGAAAGACGAAGAAGGAAAAACCATCCATGATTGTAAAAATGTTGACCGAAATGTTGATGGGGCCATTCTGGCACTTGACCTGACGCAGAATACAATATTTATACCCTCGATCCTGGCCTTCACGAGCGCCTACCCCAAGAGACATCATCACCAGGTGGACAGATGCTTTGGATTGGATTGTGAAGTTCAACATATGTGTCTATTTTAAATCCGGATCTCTTCTGGATCCAGCTTGTGGCAGCAATTAATTGTGTTATATGCTAACATTACTCAAAGTCAGGTGACTTTGTTAGGTACTTCCAGAATACTGTAAATCTTACTGTAAGTCTAAAGTATAGTGTAAATCCCTTACGAAAATGCCTAATGAAAATAGGCTCCTATAGGAACCTATAGGAACACATATGAATGCTATAGGTTCCTACAGACCCCATAGGATTCAGTTTGGGACGTATATGGTTCCCAATAAAGCCAATGGAATTCCCTATAGAACCTATAGAATTCCCTATATCATTTACCACCTAACCATGTGATGGTTAGGTGGTAAAATTCTAAGGACTTTACTTAAGCCCATACATTTGAAAATAGCAACGAACTTTCATACTGACCGTTGGTTCTCCTAATGCCAAATTTCTGAGCACTCCAACACGAGATTTCCTCAAGCTTCAAGTAGGAGGATGAAATAAGAAAACAATACCAGAAGTGCCATGATGCCGAAATATATATTTCAAGCATGGAACATGAAGATGAAAAACCGGAAATCATGGAAAAATTCAAGGTGTTGCACACCATTGGGCGTCCCGAGTGTTGGGAAGGATGAAGCTGTTCAGGAAACCTGGAATTCGGAAAGCATTAGAAAAGTGAGGGAAGAAGAGGAAATGCAAACATGTTTTGAAAGTCTGGCAGAACGTACTGGCGGTACTCGTGAAAACACCACCATATTCCGTCAAACATTAGGAACCAGCAACGAACGAAGCAACCCCGGCACTCTGGTAATACCCTCGAGAAGTTTTGTACATGAGCGATCCGCCAGAATCACCCTGAAAAGATATTGAACAATTATGTCATCGCAAATACGAGGCGGTTCCGTCATATATGATATTTTGATATGAATCTCTTGCTTACATTACAGATATTTTTCCCAGTGGCTCGCACACAAACTTAGTTGCTGTTGATGCTACTACCCCAAATGCCCTGACATGTCGGAAGACTCAATACGTTCACTGTCGTTTCCATCAAAGTCATCGGGATATTATTGCTACCTGAAGGAAGGTTCAAGATCTTAAAATTCATTAAGTGAATCATCCAACCTTTTCCAATGCACAGTAAACTCACTTCCTGAAGTGAGGCCCCATCCCACGATTGTTACCACGGAATTGGCACGGGGGTTGGCAGAGTCGAGACATATGGGACGGATGTTTGGGTAAGCTACGAAGTTCAAGGGAGTCTGAAGTTTCAGAAGGGCGATATCGTTCTGAAGAGTCTGGGTATTATAATTGGGGTGCCTGATGGCTTTGGCTGCAATCTGGATGGATTGACCTGCTGGCAATTGAAATAAGTTCTTGGATCCCAGGGTCACGTAAAATGTCCCGGCTAGGCTAGAGCCGTGGGATATAGGAAATGATTTATCGCAAATTCAGACACCATCAAAATATTCGTCTAAAAATATCCTCACTTTGATTGTATGCAATGAGCAGCAGTGAGCATGTAGCGATCGTTGTTGAGGGCCAACGTGCAGATGAAATTATTCTTGGCCGTCCCCATCCATCCCACCCACGGATATTTCCTCTGACTGGGAACGGGTGTTCCACCGATGATTCGGTCGAAGTCCAACTGTGTCACATCCGTCGGGATGTCATCAGACCTCTTCCCCGTTGTTTAAGCAGTTTAAGTCTCTTGATTCTAAAAGGGAAGGGACAGAGTGTGTAAAAAGTTGAAACAATTATCTTGCAACAGGCAGAACGTCATTTAAGTTGCAATATATTAGTGATTAAAAAAATGCGGTGATGTAAGGAAATAATTTTTCGATCCTGGGTCTGGCATTTCATAGCCATTTATGGTGTAATTTGGACACTTTTCCTCATAATCAGCTGCCCTGTCAGAATTGCATCCAGCAATTGATGCACTTTTGCAATTTTCTTCAGCATGTGACGTCAATTTTATTTAATTTTTGGTGGAAATTTTTTTGCCGATGGTGGGCTCGAATTTACTAGGTTGCAGATACTCCACTATGGAAAATGACTTCGATACCCAAAAACGATAAGAGATTATTTTTGAATGAGCAATGAGAACTTATCCTTTCTTGAAATACATAAGAGGCTATTCTGTGTGTTATTCCGTGAAACCCCCCTCTGAGATTACTGATGATTTAATAACAGAGAAATGAAGTAATGTAAAAACCAATTTTCAATCGTTTTCCTTTTCTTCATAAAAATGCCTCATACATTAAAAAAGAAGATCCAGATGCCAATATGAAGGTTGAAACAGTCTTGAATCAGGCATAATTTCAGCACAGTTTCCAGCAACACTGGGGGACGGTCCTGGAGGAATTACTCTAAGACTAATTGAACGACAGCTAATTTAATTTTTTTAATGGCGAAATGGAGCATTCCAAACAGCGAAAAAGCCACTTTTCGTCAATATCTTTCTTATGGTTGGTCTCTTTCCTCCGAGAACCCCCCAAGAGTGGGGTTCTCGGAGTCCCCCAAGAGTCGGTTCTCTCCCCACCCAGGGGGGTGGGGAGAGAAAAAAAGGATTGAAATTCATATCTCCCAAAAACGAAATTCAGCTTTCTCCACAACCCCGAGAGATGGCGCTCCAAATTTGTTGGAGCGATTCTGCGGTGAGAGAAGAAGAATCATGCCAAATTTCGTTGCTCTTGATGCTCTCAGAGAGGAATACGAGGAATTTGAATTTTTGCGTCTGGAAGGGGTTGAAGAAAGGTAATACGCACTACCAAAGCCTATTAACCAAAAAAATCAAAACCTCATAACCTGGAGGCGATACTTATTGGGCCAAAAATCCAAAATGTACGCTGCAAACGTGGTTTCTACACGTCTCCCTTGTCTTTCTGCGTGTCAGAGGCCTGCACGTGTTGATTACCCTGAGTTTAAACACGATCGGGCCTGATTCGGGCCCGCACTCGACCTGGAACACGATCGTCGACCGAGCTTTGCTGCTCCGAGACGCGGATCTGGTTGGACTGACATGGCCGCTCTGCAGCCCGCTTAGGCCTCTAAGCTCGAGAACTCCAGGTCTGTGATGACGCATTTGCCACAATGGAGGCGATAGAAGTCTTACTGATTACGCAAAAACGTATTTTCGTGAGAAATGGTTCAGAGTAAATGGCATTAACAAGCAACATATGACAGAGTGGCGAGCCGTGTCTGTGAAATGGGAAACCGTGCAAGACAGTAATATTGAGAAATGTGTAACTCCCGATGATTTCCTTAAACACTGAAAACACCTCTTTCTTAAGGATGGGTTATTTGATTTCGATGCCCGGCCATCTTTCATCAAAATACATATGCATAATGCATAAGAGGATAATCTGCCCGATTCAGGCTGCCATTCCGGGAGATCTCCTCCTAGACGGCTGAATAGATTTTCATGAGTGAGATGTCAATTCAAAGCTTATGCCTTAAGGCGATATTTCTTGGATCTAATCGCCGAGAAATATTCCAATTTTCATTTGCAATAAGGCTAAATTTCGGCGACTGGAATGATATTATAATGTCCGGGCTGTGTGATCACACCTCAAGATCCGCTCTCGACTAGATACTTGATTGCAGATCGGAGCGATAAAATACCTGTTTTTTCTCTGAGGTCTCCCATTACGCATTCGCTCGCTCCCGACTCGTATCGAGTGTCCCTGCCATGGCAACGTTATAAGACATGCGAATGAATGTGCTTTACAGGAATCACAATATTTCCAGTAAAAGCGACGCGACCATGAGGAAAAGATGAAAAGCATACGTATCTGGCGGAATCACCGTAATGGCAGTCGCATCCAGACGATCTGGGTGTCTAGATCTGGAGACTTCCAGTCTGCGAATGACGTGGAGCTCACAATCGCACATGTCTCTCCCCTTGTTTTCCACATCCCCAAGAATGTGAAAAATACATTTCGTTGTAACAGTTTGGTTTTAGCACTGAAATGGCTTGGAATGAGTAATGAGGAAGTGTAGACTCCACACCCCATCAAAATTTGCGCATAGGTGATGAGAGAATTGAGAAGAAACCCTGCCTCAGGTGCAGTTAATTCAGCGATTCAAAGTCTGATGCAGCAATCGGAAGGGAATTTCCAAAGGGTGCATTCTGTGATGAAAAACCTTTTTCGTGTGCGAATCCGAGGGTGTGTGGATAAAATACTGGAAAGAACAAGAGGGACGAATTTGAATTTCATGGCAAGAAACATTGTTTCACGAAGCAATACGTTCCTACGAAATCAGAATGAAGGTAAAAGAAACCTCCACACTTTTGAAGGTAACAATCGCGATAAGTTTGGTTGACGTACTACGCATGTATCGTATCAGTTCTTCAGGGTTGTTCTTGAAAAATTAGGGGATTCGGAGTCTCACTCGTTAGCCGCTGTCACATTCGGGGAACTGGGAGAGGCAGGATCTCGAGAGATCTACGGGACTGACTAAAAGGACCGTTGCTTCATAAATTTGCATGAACTCATTGCACCACACAGGAAATGCGAAGATAAAGTCGTGGATGAGGACGGAAGGAGGCTTTTGGCTCTTTGTATGGCCACGGATCTTAAACTTCTAAATGGAAGATACATAAACTCGTCGGCGGGAAGCTGGACCTACATATCGGAGACGGGGCAAAGTGTAGTAGATTATATAGCAGCGTTCTGGTCACACAGTGGTCGTGTTGTGAGGAGTTCCCTTCCACTATAGGAGTGAAACAAGGAAGTCAAATTTCCCCTCTCCTATTCTCCCTATTTGTGAACGACCTCCCAGACGCATTGATGGCAGAAGAGACACACCCTCCGCACCTCCATGAACGACCCGTCCCTTGCTTCATGTATGCTGATAATCTGGCAATTATGGCTCAGTCTCCTATAGGACTGCATAGAGCACTGGACGCACTCCTCCGTTATTGCGAATCCTGGAAGCTAAAAGTAAATGTTAAGAAAACGAAGATCATGATATTCAGCGAAGGACAAAGAAGACGGAGGACGGAAAGTTGGAAGTACGATGGGAAAGAAGTTGAGGTAGTCGCCAACTTAAACTATTTGGGTATCATGTTCGCACAAACTGGTGGCTGGAATGAGGCACTGAACGAAAGACTATTGCTGGCGAGAAGAGCGATTTTTAGAGCCCAACCTGCTATGAGAGCTCTGAAGGATCTGCCGCCCAAACTTCTCCTACACCTGTTTGAGGTGTAATTTCAATGCTGTTGTATGGTTCTGAGCTCTGGGGCCAAATTCTCTACGGGCCTGGTCGATCCAAGAAGATGGAAATGATTCAATCACAGCATTTGAAATGGCTCTTGGGTCTGCCACGCAACGCACCGGAAGCGATGGTGCTTCTTGAGCTGGGAAAACATCACTGGAAATGATCATCAAACAAATAATTGTAAATAATTGTTTCCATGCATTATTTATAGCCACTTTCCACATGACTCACCAAATGACCTCAAAGTTGGAACGTTAGGGTTTACATTAGCGAACAAGTAAGTTATACAGTACAACCTAGCACTCCTTACACTCATTTGAAGGACAGGAAATGAAAAAGAAAATATATGGTTTCAATGAGACGTCTGGGTTTATTGAAGATCCCTTACTAAAATGTCTTATAGGATTCCTATATATTCTTTAGGAAACCTATGTACCTACTTCACCACTGAACGCAGCGTATCCAGTTCCTTCTCTGAATGCCTTTCTTATCTGTCACAAAATATATTCAAGAAAATAGGTTCCCCCCAGGGCATGTACCTCCAAAGTGGGATTTTTTCTGAACTCTGCATCCCAAAAGGTACATGTGTACCAAGTTTCAGATTTCTAACCCTTCTAGAACATGGTTAGAATTAGCGTCAATCAGTCAGTCACGATCGTCTATATATATTAGATGCAAGTGCCCCTACCATGGGAAAAACCCCTAAACGGTAATTGATCTACACCAAAATACTGCGCCAGTATTGACACCGGTCTCATTTTCCATCGTAATGCCTGGGTTATAGCCAAACATTTTTATTTTGGGTAATACCCAAAAAATCTTCCCTGAATCTTATAGATTAGGCGTCCTATAAGACCCTAAAGCAGCGCTTTAGGGTCTTATAGGACATAGAGACTTATACTCCATGAATATGTTTCGACTGTAAGGATAAGAAATGCAGTGCCCTCGTTCATCTATTCTTATAATGTAACTAGGCGAGACAGAGTTTTCCGGAAACTCCTTGGACTGGCTTACCTCGTGAAACCGATTTCTTGAAGAATTGGAATGCCTTCTTCTGTGGAGGAAAAGATCAGGCACCGCAAAGAAAGATTTGGAGATTAATTCCAGCAATATGGGTATTTGACTCACCATAGCGGCTACTTTGGCCCCTTCTGGCGTCAGTTATGTGAACCTTTAAATTTTTATGGATATCAAAATTCCATTAACTTTCAACATTCAACCCTTCAAGAACGACGTGTATTGGTGGTCAAACGGCATCAAAATTACGCGTCATTTTTAAAGTTGTACCAAGAACCTTGAACGTCGAAGAGCCTGCCTCTTTGAGCCGAGAATAAACATTCTCCTCTACGAATGTTACCTAGGAAGTGACATGAAGAATATTTTTGTTTTACGCTTGGTACATAATTCGGAGGACGCCGTAATGCCAATTGGTATTCGATCTTCAGAATATTCAGGATGACGAATAAATTATGACCCTATTTTCAAAAGTGAGAACAGCTTACGATAGCCTATCTAGTTCGTTGGAGTGTTAAGAGTCCTCGCAAGCAATTTCTGCTATGGTTTCGCTTAAGCATTCATGCCAATAACTAGCTTAATCTCTTCTTTTTCACGAAATATGGAAGGATAACTCTGAAGACTCTCCTTGATTCACACCTCGTCTAGAGTGTTCGTCCTGAGACTTGTGTGAAAGCGTGAGGTGGGCATTTTTCATAACTCGTTGATTAAAAGTTACCGAACGTGTTGATTATGTTTTATGAAATTCGCTTTATTTCTTTAATCAGAATTAGTACAGAAAAAAAACACATTGTAGGGACGGAACTAATTTGTCACCATGTAGAAAAAGTGAAATGCGAGCTAATGGAATAGTTTTGCATCATTCAAGGCGATTCTTACACTGGCCCATGACAACGAGGAAAACTGAAAATATAACATCAATATTGGCTACACGTTCCGGATCCTCGACAGATCCAAGTTCCAGAATGTCCACATCTGCGGATTACGTGTGACGCAAGCTGATGCCAAAAGCTACTGCCAAAGCACCTGGGCACGTGGCAATAATGTGGCTTCGGGGAGGCGCATGTATGAGGTCAGGATCTAGGGTATAAATTCAGCAAATTACGGTTGGTTCCATAGTAGAACGGTCTTGTCAACTTTTGCATCGACTTCGTTGCAAGCATGGAAGCGTCTCCCATCTCCGTCTTATTTTTCTTCCTCACTTTCTCGGCCCATACTCAGGTTCAGTCAGAGTCTTTCTTTTCGTGCGGGGAATGGTATTAAAGTTAATTGGATGTTCCAGGAGGTTTACGCTCATTCCCATTTCCACAGGGTGAGGAGAGTGGAAGTTTTGAGACTTCTCCCTCATTATTGGAATCGCTTGATATCCCAGGTACTGTTCAGTCGGTATAACATTACCGTACCTGAAACGAATACATATGTAGTTCTCTCGAAATTTCTTAGAAATTAGATTCATTCCCTGAAATTGTGGGTTCATCATCCATGCGTATATATTGCACAAAGTTTCCTCTTCCAATTCTTTCTCTATTTCTTCAGAAACCTTTACCGATTCTGTTTAGTACCAGTACAGTTTAAAGTACGTTAAATATTGGCGTATATGAAATGGGTTGTCATATTAAAAAAATGACTATGAACAATGATGGCTATGACATTTCTTATCAGGGGCCTTCGCATTGCACTTATCTGTATACGGAGGAAGTACTTTTTGCAGGTTAATATGGAGTAAATAAATTTCTGAAAGTCATTGAATCATGCAGATTTAGAAGAATCCATGAAAAAATATTATTCTATATTTCCGACATACATCAGGAACTTCCATTCCATGGAAGGCGTTTTCACTTATTTCCGCAGTACTTAAAGCTGGAAACGGATACCGTGATGTTGCCAGTGTAAATCTGCTTCCTTGCGAGAAATGAAGAATCTCATGAGAAATTAATCGGTCTGTACTATGCAGTCTCCCTGATGGGTTAGGGAATATTACTTCAGGGAACTTGAAAAATGTTTACGACTCCCAAAACACCATTTCTACAACTTTCCTCACCTTGTGTTCTTTTCATTTTCAGGATCAAGAGCCTTAGCCTGCTGTAAGTTCAAAAACACAGAGCTTCTTCATGGAAACCTTTAAGAATATAGCGATTACTGTTTTTACGAGTGCTTAATGCATTCACATCGCTAGATTGCGGACTTTCTCAAACGGCAACGGGAAAGAGGTCTGATGACTGTCCTACAAATGTGACGGACTTCGACCGAATCATAGGAGGAACTCCCGTTCCCAGTCAGAGGAAGTATCCGTGGATAGGATGGATGGGGACGGCAAGGAGCAATTTCGCCTGCACGTCGGCCCTCATCAACGATCGCTACGTCCTTACTGCTGCTCATTGCGTGTCATCAAAGTAAGAATATTTTGGAACGTATTTCTTGACTGAGCCTTCATCTGCGGAGAATGATGAGCCATCTCCTACATCCCATTGCTGTAGCCTATATGGAACATTTTACGTGACTCTGGGATCCTCGAACATGTATCAATGGCCGGCAGGTAAATCCATCCAGATTCCAGCACGAGCCATCATGCATCCCAATTATATTCCGAATCCAACTCAGAACGATGTCGCCCTTCTGAAACTTCAAACTCCTGTGAACTTCGCAGCTTTCCCAAACATCCGTCCCATTTGTCTCTCCTCTGGCAATCCCAGTGGCAATTGAGTGGTTACAATTGCAGGATGGGGCCGCAATTCAGGAAGTGCGTAGAAGATGGGTTGCAGGTAGTTGGATGACTCATATTCTGAATTTGAAGACCTTTACAAAATTTTTCAAGTAGCAGTGCCACCCCGACAGCTTTGATGGAAGCAACGGTGAAAGTAATGAGTCTGCAAACTTGTCAGAGCATTTGGGGTTCTCGCGTAAACAACAAATATGTATGTATCCAGGCTTCTGGGAGAAACGTCTGCAATGTAAGCTAACGACTACTAAGTAAAACGCACTTAGAATGAAATGCAAAAAGCATTTGTGATTGGGTCACTGATGAATTTATTTCCAGGGTGATTCTGGGGGATCGCTGATGTATCGAACTTCCTCAGGAATTTACCTGAGCGTTGGTATTGCTTCGTACGTGAGGGACGCATATTGTTCACCTCAATATGGCGCTGTGTTCACCAGTACATTTAGTACGTACTTTTATAACTCTAAAATATCGTGTGGAAATTAGTATTATGCTTACATCAATATCATTTTTTCCACATTGCAGGTTACGTGTACAGCTTCATCTTTCCCAACACCGCGGATGCCCAATGGTGTGCCGTACCTTGAATTCCTTCATCATTCCTTCATTTTTGTTCTATTTGTTGTTTGCTTCTGATTTTCCTATGCTTGAAATAAACATATTGCGTTCGCATGGTATTTTTCCTGCATTTTATTCCTTGATTTTGAAATCTGAAGCTTGAAGAAAACAAGCGTTTGGGAGTGATTACAAAAATGGTCGTGGGAGAGCATTTGTTTTTTTTTTCGAAATTTTTTTTAAATGAATCATTGCTGTCCTTGAGTGTGCTTCATTATTTCCCTGCATTATCATAGAGAATCAAAGAGCGGAAAATAGTCTGAAAAGCTAATCAGACAGTCTCCATTCTCAATGCGATCAACGGCAAGACTGGGAAGCCTTGCGCATACTCCAATTAGTGTGATGAACGTGGCGTTTGATCCTGCGTCCGCAGTGGCTGAACAAACTTGTATTATATGATTTCATGTGAAAGAGAACGTGAGGGTGGCTGATATTTTCTCAAGATTATAAGCACAGTTGCCTATCGAGACAAAGACTGATTATCCAGGAAAAGTGTAGGGTAAAAGACCCAATGATGGGCCTGTTAATGGCGGGTACTCAGTGATGGGCCACTTTGCAGGAAAATTCAAAAAACTAGGCAATTGTTCCATGAACACCTCTGAAGTGTCTATGTGCTTTAATGCTGCTAGCATATGTCACAACATGGGTAGGCTTCCTATAGAAGCTTAGCTATTAGAATTTTTATGTGCTGTGGCCCATCACTGGGGACCGGTCCATCACTCGGTCTTTTACCCTATTAGATAGGTGCAAGAAATTTCGAGGCAGCCAAGAATCCTTGAAAGTTTGAGCGTGGCCACCTGCTTGAGACTGTTGTAAATCCTATGCATGTTGGCCGAATCGGACATATGATTCTGGTGAATGGCCATTTTACCGTGCAAAACTTTATTGCGGTACTAAACATCAGCATTGGAAATGTCGAAAACATTAACCATATATACATGAAGTCCAACGAGGTGACGGCGAAATGGGAACCTAGAGAACTGATATTAGGCCATAAGGCTAACCGAGTGGCGGTGCATCGGATCATCTCAATAGGTACAACGAAGGGAAAGAGAACTTCAACTGCATTTTGAAGAGTGATGAAGCTTCATCCCCTTTCACCGGAGTCGAAGAGCTCAAGCATGTAATGGCAACATTGTAGATCGCCGCCATTGAAGACATTAAGGGATAAGAAGAAGTGGTAAAGTTGCTGTACACTTGACCATGAGTATTGCCCATAAGTATTCCCTAAATCCCAAAAATATTATGTAGTGAAAAAATAAAGAAGTCCCCTTACACTTGCTGCAAACGTTTCTCTCTTCAACCGTCCACCACACACTCCACATGAACCTCGAATTCCTCTTTTCACAGATTTGGTTATGCTGACGTGCCTGAAAGCGAAGTCGCCTCCTGTCCCTTTTCGATGACGCATTGAAACCAACGGAAGACAAAAGCTTCGCAATTCATTACTTGAGGAAGCCCTTACGGAAATGTCCTATAGGAAACCTATAGCTATTTCTTATAGGTAAACCTTTAGTTATTTCTTAAAGTTATTTCTTATATATATATATATATATATAGATCGATGTTTCAAAGCCAATAAAATTGGCACACTTGCGGAAGAGACTGGAAGGGCAATGCGTTTAAATTGCCCCCTTCCAAGCCAAACATAATAAGATGGACAATCACTGATAGAAGGGCTAGCCCTTGAACAGCCATGGCTCAGCACCCACGCGAGTACCTCGACAGGAAAATCGAGACTAATGTGAAAAGCCAGGCAGAAAAGGGGGTCCAGGTGGAAGAAGGCCATAAAGGAAAAGAAAGCGAAGCTCTAGACTAGATTTTTGACGCTTTTCGACCGGCTTCGTCAGGGGGTGCATGGCCGGCCTAGAGCATCAACAGCTGTTATAACCTGTTTCTGTGGTCATCCTAGCGTGCCAGGAGTATTAGATAGAACTTGGAAGTACTACCCATTCCAAGGACAAACCCAGCTGAAGTCCAATTGCACGGCAGGCCTAGAGGATCAACAGTTGTTATAACCTATTTCTGCGGTCAACCTAGCGTTCCAGGATTCCTAGATAGAACTTGGAAGTACCACCCATTCCAAGGACAAACCCAGCTGAAGTCTCTCTGCACATGCCATCGTCTGTTAATGATTGGCTCAAAAAGTCTCGCGACAAAGCTACTGGAACTAAGCTATAGGCCAAGCAGCCCACAGACTACGTTCAGCATGTACAGAGATGACGATGCCCAAATTGTCCCTGGTGAGGGAAGCCTTATTCCCACATATGGACATCTATGAATTGACCTACTATTGACAGGTTACTAAAGCATTTATCCATCTAGAGGTAAACAAAACGAGAAAGAAACTTGATCACCGGTATTATTAAAAACACTGGGAATATAAATTTACCCTCTTTACATGTTCGAAAACAAGTCCTCGTTATTGTAAGAATGAAATATTCAGTTCCCCCACTGAAGTATGATATTTGAAGAAAATGACTTGCCTTTTTTGAAGTACAAAACTTTTAAATTGCAGAATAAGAAACCCTAGAGGCATGTCCATTACACATCAACCTCTGATATAGAAGATCGCACTTTGTCTCTCCGTTTGACTGAAACAAATATCCAATTTAAAAACTTCCCCCCCAAATAGGGGGAAGATGTTTCCAGAATTATATATTTTCTCCCCCAAGGCATGTCCCTTCTAAGTCGGATTTTTTTCTGAACACTGCATCCCAAAAGATACTTGTGTAACAAGTTTCGGATTTCTAGCTCCTCTAGAACATAGAATTAGCATCGGTCACTCACTCTCTCAATCACGATCGTTTATATACAGCACTAGCGAATTTGTTTAATCTTTGGGCAAGCAAATCTCTATGATGGCTCCTTCGGCGCGGTTCGCTCCATAAAAGGTTGATAATGATACATTTAAAGCATGACTTATTGATTCTCATAACTACAAATCCGTAAAACTCCTTGGATCATTAGGATTTTTTTATCACGAGTTTAAGCAACTCCTGCTTGTGCGAAGTGATTTTCAGTCTAATGGTAGGGATATTAATCCCATTCTTTGTAGCCCCAAAACTGTCACTTCAGAATTCATTCTCAATGGACCGCCTTTTATAGCAAGACTATAAGAACCAGCTTTCCCTAAGCGTAATTGTTTACTCATTCTTCCCGTTAACAAATAACCTTTAGTATTGTGGCAAAAAATGTGGATAACTTTTTGGAAGCAAATATATATGCCCTAGGTTGTGCAAAGCAAAATGAAGATTTTATCTATATTTGTTTATCCCAGTCCTATCTTTAAAAAAATCCGCTACCCTGACGCAATTTTTTTTTTGAAAACATCCCCCCCTAAAAAAAAAGAAATTGTGCCCCCAGAAAATACATCTCCAAAGTGAAGATTTTTAAAAATTAGCATATCACTATCACTTTCATACTCATTTTCAAATATTCAAGTATTTCCCTTTGAAAGGAAGAGAAATTTGTAAAACTTTGCCATGGGAAAATGTGCCCCCAGGCACACATTTGAAATCTGAATCCTGGATATTAGCGCATCAATAGGCATTTTCACGTCCATTTTCAACTTTGTACGTCTTTGCTTTGGCTGAAGTGAAATAAATTATTTTTAAACGTCACCTGAATCAATACGCCTTGAAGGCATATACCTGCGTATACCTGCGCTCCATTTTCCAGGTTAGTGATTCAACCTTTAATTTATTATCAAGGTGGCTAAAACTTCTTAAAAGTTTGTGCCTGTTAAAATAGGTCCTGAGAGACAACGAACTGATATTTTCATTGAAATAGGTTCTCCGTTTATTCGAAGATTTGAGTTTCTTCAGATATATTTTTTGTTTGAACAGAAAGGATTCTGGAACGTGTGTTTTGCAAAAAAATTTGCGGAGGAGTTTAACATACAAATTAGCATTTCTACTGAAATCGCCACTGGGAGAACTACAGGCTCACCAAGGTTCAGCCTTATCCATTTGATCTTTTCGCTGGCGCAAAAAAAAACATTCGGAAAGCCAACGCAGCCAATAGCTGTGCCCTTAGGGCATCCACCACGAACTTTTATTTTTTCTGAACTCAACACATCAGCCATTGGTGTGCCAGGTTTCAGCTTTCTTTTTCTTCCCAATGCAGTAGGACAAAAAATTATTTTTTTTTATGTCATCCCCAAGAAAAATGCTTCCAAGGCATGCTCCTGAAACTCGGCATTTTCCCTTAACTCATAGTAGGGGTAGGCACGTCCATGTTGAGTTACAGCTGTCCATGTTCATTCGTTCGACTGTATCAAAAAAAATTAATATCTCTCCCTAAAATGTAACATGTAAAATGTAAAACCCCAGGGCAAAAACTCCCTAAAATGAAAAACCCCAGGGCCCCCCCATTTTCCTCCGAATTCAAAATATTTCTGAATTATCAAGAGGTACCCATTCATCAAGTTTCACCTGTCTATCTCTGCCAAATTTGGTAGGAGGAAAAAATATTTTTTTAAACGTCACACCCCAGAAATATGCCCCCAGGGCATGCATCTAAAAATTGTCGTTTTCTGTGAACTATGCGTCTTAATAGGCACGTCCATACCAAGTTTCAGCTTTCTATGTCTCTCCGTTTGACTGAAGAAAATACACAGGGTGGGCCAAAAATTCCGCCCCAATTTTTAATTGCATATAACTAAACAGAAGACAATAGACGAAATTTCTCATTGCATCGACCAATCCACAATGTATACCCAGGCTAGACAAGAAAGACTCAATATGCGTTATGTAGGAAAGCAAGATAGGTAAAGCAAGAAAGGGTTCCCATCCTCGCGCTCATGATTCTTCCTGGATGGCAAGGTACATGTAATCGAACTTCAATGGACCCGAACAAACTTTTGTATTGCAAATGAATTCTAAAAATACCGTGTAGGTAATTTAAAAAATGTTTGTTCCCTATATGTCAATCGATGTCAGCATTTCCTAAACAGTTCATTGAAAAATGTAGTAGTGTGAAAACCAATTTGCAACGATTTTCCCTCTCTTCAAGCCCCAACCTCAACCTCGCCGCCCAACCTTCCCATTCTCTATGGAAGTGACTAACATCAGGTCCAAGCTTAACCCTAACCTAACCCTAACCTAACCCTAACCTAACCCTAACCTAACCCTAACCTAACCCTAA